ATTCAAGCGGTTCTCAGTCTCCAACCGTATCATTTCGATTATTGGATGATAGCGTTGGCTCGGTGGCAACCAAAGAAGCCTTTGCATTTTCCTTCTGAGATAACCTTCTGGGTACGCGTAATGGGGGTTCCAATGGATTTCAGGACAATTCCTACTTATGAGAGTATTGGAAATGGGTTTGGTAGAACAACACATGTTGATTTGGATAATAAGCGTATTCAGGTAGTGGTGGATGGTTTTAAAGAGATGTGCTTTGACACTACAGTGGAGTTTAAGGGAGGAGAATTCTATGAGGGGGTGGAAGCGCCTGTATCTCTGCGATACGAGTAGCTGTTCGGTTATTGTCTAACTTGCTTCAGTCTTTGCCACAAGTCTGACATCTGTCCTTTGGTTAAGCGGAGTCCGCAGAAGAGCACGGTGAGAAGGGAGAATAAAGACGGAACCTCTGGAAGATATGAGGATGGGAAACATGAGGATCGGGCTCGAAGTTATAAAGGTGTTGTACTGAATGGACATGGAAATGGGAATCAGCTTAGCAAGGCTAAGGAAGACAGAGAGTACCATGGTAAAGGAAAGGGCAAGCTGTTTGAGGAACCGGACACAAGATGGAGAAAGGTGGCTGGGAGGGGGAATAGGTACCAAGGCCACTACCGTGGTAGTCACAAAAGGGATGGGCAAGGATCGGGTTTGAAACATTCCAAGAATGGTGAGGCTAGGGTGGACGACAAGGAGAGTAGACCTCAAAAGGGGAATACCGGTGGCCTCACTAAAGGAGTTCAGGGCGAAGGTCCAGAAGAGGGGGAGATTAAGAATGATGAGGACAGTCAACATGCCTCTTTGGAATTTCAGCAAGCCCTCCAGGATACTCAAGCTCCGGGAATGTAGGTCATATCGAATCCTATCGATGAGGTACAAGGTGTACAAACTGTGTCTACTATGGTTGAAAATAATTTAATGTTAGGAGAGGAGGACACAATGGATATGGAGGAGATCAGAGCCTGTTTATTACAAAATGGGATCGACATGGACTCAGAAGAGTTTATGAAAGAGAACCCGGAAGAGGAGTTCGAGGAGCTGCTAAAAGAACAGGAACAGGAAGCCATGATTGGGGCTGAGGATAGTGTGGAGGCAAAGGAACAAAAGATTATAGGGGAAGCGGTGGACAGTGAGCAGGAGAAGAACAAAGGGACGCGTAGGAGGCTTGTCAAACCATTAAGCAACACGCTAGGAAGCACTAAGATGCGGACTGCTTCAGCATTGCTTTCCCCGAGAAAGAAAACCACGGCTAAAGGAGGAGCAAGAAAGGGGGAGAATGTAAAGCCACCGGACGGCAGAGGAAACGCTATTGGTATCAAAAAAGAATATTGGTATAAAAAAAGGAGAAACATGTGGTATTCATCGGGAGATTTGAATACACATTTCTATCATGCCTTGACGAAACAGAGACGGGTGCGCAACAGGATTGTGGGTCTACATGATGATGCTGACAATTGGGTAACGAAGGAATCTGGGGTGGAAAACGTAGCAGTGAAGTATTTTGAGGCTCTTTTTACTTCCACCACCCCATCGGAATTTGATGCTTTCCTGGCGGAAATCCCATCTTATATTACACCGCAAATGAATCACAGATTATTGAGAATGGCGACGGAGGAAGAGGTTCGGCAAACTCTGTTTTTGATGCATCCCGGGAAAGCACCAGGCCCTGATGGGATGACAGCCCTCTTTTTCCAACATGCTTGGCACGTAATTAAGATAGACTTGGTGAATATGGTGAATAAGTTTTTGGTTTCAGGAGTTTTGGACCCTCAGCTAAATAAAACTCACATCTGTATGATTCCCAAAACGGAGAGGCCCACAAGAATGACGGAGCTTCGACCAATCAGCCTGTGTAATGTTGCTTATAAAATCATTTCAAAGGTTCTATGTCAACGGCTGAAAATCTGTTTGCCAAGGCTAATTTTGGAAACACAATCGGCTTTTGTTCCAGGGCGTCTGATTTCGGATAATATTTTAATTGCTCAGGAAATGTTTCATGGATTGAGGACTAATAAATCCTGCCAAGGAAAGTTCATGGCGATAAAAACATACATGAGTAAAGCATATGACATGGTGGAATAGGATTTTATTAAGGCTTTGCTTTCTAAAATGGGTTTTGATCCGAGGTGGATAAAGCTTATGATGGAGTGTATTTCGTCTGTCCAGTATCGGGTCTTAATTAATGGCCAGCCTCGAGGATATATTAAACCACAGAGAGGATTGCGACAAGGAGACCCACTGTCTCCATATTTATTCATAATGTGTACGGAGGCTTTGATATCTAACATTAAAAAGGCAGAGAGGTTGAAGCCTGTTTCAGGGATGAAGGTGGCCAGAGCATGTCCGGCTATTTCCCACCTTCTTTTTGCGGATGATAGTTTTTTTTTTGTAAGGCGCAACCGGAGGAATGTCAAACCATATTGCATATTCTTAAGGAATATGAAGTAGTCTCAGGCCAACTGATAAATTTCATAAATCTTCAATCCAGTTTGGGCATAAGATTGGGGAGGCAAAGAGGCAGGAATTGAGAGACATTCTTGGTATCCAAAATATGGGTGGCATGGGGTCATATCTGGGACTTCCAGAGAGTTTAAGTGGGTCGAAGATTCAGGTGTTTCGTTTTGTGCAGACCAGGTTGAATAAGAGGGTTAATGGCTGGTCTTTCTGATTCTTCACAAAAGGGGGAAAAGAAGTGATTATCAAATCTGTGGTCACTGCCTTACCGAATCATGTGATGTCATGCTATAGATTGCCTAAGGCGACTGTTAAAAAACTCACTGCTGCAGTAGCCCAATTCTGGTGGAGTCCTGGGGGAAGCACAAAAGGGATGCATTGGAAATCATGGGATAAACTATGTCTTGATAAGGATAATGGTGGTTTAGATTTTAAGGACTTGGAGGATTTTAATACGGCAATGTTGGGTAAACAATTATGGCGCCTAATCGAGAAACCAAATTCTCTGTTTTCTCGTGTTTTTAAGGGTCGGTATTTTAGGAATGCGACGCCTTTATTCGATCATATTCCCCATCATATGGATGGAGAAGTATGGGTAAACAATTATGGCGCCTAATCGAGAAACCAAATTCTCTTTTTTCTCGTGTTTTTAAGGGTCGGTATTTTAGGAATGCTACGCCTTTATTCGATCATATTCCCCATCATATGGATGGAGAAGTATGATTTCTGCTAGATCTCTGGTTTGCAAAGGACTTATTAAACGGGTGGGATCAGGATCATCTATCTCTGTATGGAATGACCCCTGGCTCCCAACCACTCGCCCGAGACTAGCAAATAAAATTCAATTTTCTTCTACTTTTTCTTCTCTTGGTTTTTTCCCCCGGATATAACAGTGGATTATCTAATCAGTCCAGACACGCGAACTTGGAATATGTCGGTTATAAGAGCTCTCATAGATCCGGAGGATGTGAAAATAATTGAGAGTATACCTCTTAGCAGGACACAATTGGTGGACAGGGATGGCTGGCATTTTACTAAACATGGAAAATATACGGTTCAATCGGCATATCAACTAGCAAGGGTATATCCAGACAAAAGAACCACACCTGAGTTGTATGGCCCCACAGTGGATGTATTAAAAGCATTTTGTTGGAAAATTCTATGCCCACCTAAGCTGAAACATTTCTTGTGGCAATTATTATCGGGATGCATTGCAGTACGAATAAACCTTCAGGCACGAGGGATAAAAGGGGATACAGGTTGTGACAAATGTGGAGCTGATGAGGAAACGATTAATCATGTGTTCTTTGAATGTGCCCCAGTACGACAAGTCTGGGCACTTTCACAGATTCCTTCCCATCCAAATCTTTTCCCAAAGGTTTCGTTATTCGCGAATATGGATTATTTATTTTGGCGGGTGATTCCAAAGTTGGAAGATCATTACTTTGCATGGATCTTGTGGTATATTTGGAAAGTGCGGAATAACAAAATATTTAGTAATTTGGATATCGATCCACAGAACACACTTACGTTGGCACTCACAGAATCGACCTTGTGGAAAGAGGCACAAGTAAAGGCAGTTCAGAGCGATCCTCAACAACTGGCAGAGGACACTCTACCAGTTATTTCGGGAAGATGGTGTTTTGTGGATGGCTCATGGAAAGCAAATGATCAGTTTGATGGGCAAGGTTGGTATAGCACGCTTGAAGGGTATGTAGGTTTAATGAGTGCAAGGAATGTTAGGGCCAGTATGTCTCCACTTCATGCAGAGGTGGAGGCACTTATTTGGGCAATGGAGAGTATGCGAAACTTAAGACAGTATCATGTTACATTTGCAACGGACATGTTCTCAATTGGTGAAGATGGTTTCGGAACCAGAAGAATGGCCAGCGTTTGCAAGTTATCTTCATGATATCAAGACGCTTCAAGAGAGTTTCAACAGCTCGACAATAATTCATGTCAAACGAACACTGAACTCGCGGGCGGATGGCCTAGCACGGAATGCCAGGATGCAACCGTTTTTCGTCATTCACATGGATACAGAGTTACCGGTCTGGTTCACATAGTCTATATGAGTCTGTAGGTCGATGTCAAAAAAAAAAAAAAAACACTAAATATAGAGTTTTTGGCTCTCCAAAAAGAAACTTTAAAATTTCAAATTTGAAATTTTGAGTAGTGAAACTTCATATTTGAAATTTCAATTCTCAGAACTTCAAATTTGAAGTTTCATCTTTTTATTTGCATTTTAATCCTTACAATTAATTATATATTATATTTAGGATTTTTTAATATTTTCTCGTTTAACATTTTAATCCTTAAATTTTTTATATCTTATAAATATTTCAGATTTTTTTTTATAAATTTAAGTTTTATACAAACAAAATATATATTATTTTAAAACTAAAATTAGACTTCACAAATATTATAAAAGACACTTATTTTTTTTATAAAAAAGTACATGAAAAGCATAGTTAATACATAAATTTAAATATTACAACAATATTAATAGTATGGTAATTTTTTTCTGAAACCTTCAAAATCACCAAAATATTATCCAAATAAGTATTGTGTAATTGACGATAGAGCATTATGGAAATATTATATGAAATAATGTGATTGTTTGTATTTTATTATTTAGTTATGTATTTTTATTTACAGTTTTATATTTTAAATTAAATATTTTTTAATTAATATTATTGTTATGTTTTCATATATATGTTAGTTATTTATAAAAACAATTATGAATTTATATTAATTATGACAAATACAAGGACCATAAAGTTAAATACAAATAATTTTAAAGTTAGATTTGAAGTTTTGCATTTGGAAAAAACACATTTAAACTTCAAAAATATAATTTTGCAAACTCTAAAATAGAGTGTCTTTTTGAGATGTTCTTAATAGCTTGCTAAAATAAAGATTTTGATTACCTTGTTGATCAAGAAAATCCTACCTTGTTGATCAAGAAAATCCTAAATTTTATTTTGATTCCAGCTGTTTTTTATTATTATTTTTTTTTTTGTAATGGCAAGAAAATTAGTCTGGAATAAGTTGTGTGATAAACCAGTATTGATAATTGGTTTCATTTAAGCTGGAATTTTATGGGTCATACCTACATAACAATAATAATCCGGTTCAATCCAACAATGTAACCGGTCTGGTCTAATAAAGTATGTATAAATTAAAAATGACTTGAAGCATTTACAAGACACAAAAACCCTAGCAAGCATATCCAGCAGCAGCAGCAGCAGCCGACTCCACCAGCAGCGACAGCGAAGGAATGAAGAAGATGCCTTCGAAACTGTTCGACGATAACGGCGGTGACTTTCCTCAGAACGAAGGCCCCGTTGAGTTAGAGGTCGACAACGAATACCGTCTTAAGTTGGAACGCAAAAGAGAGGCGGAGGATCTGAAGCGATTCAGTAAGGCGGTTGCGGAAGGTAGAATCGTGGAGGACGGAGAAGAAGACGAATCCGAATCGGACGAAGCTTCTGACCCAGAGGAGGAGATTGGAGTCGATGAAGTCGCAAAGTGGATGTCTTCTTTAACTAAGTTAAAGGAACATGATCCTGAGTTTCTAGCTAGAGGGGAGAGCGATGATGATGATGATGTTGTTGAGAAGAAGGATCGTAAGAAGAAGAAAAAGAAGGTGTACCTGAAAGATGTTCAGGCGCGGCAATTACTTAAAGAAGGTCCAGATGCTGGTGAGGAAGATGAAGGGAGGAGTAGTAAGAGTGTTCGGACTTACGGTGAGCAGCAAGAGGAGCTGAGGCGAGCTGTGTCCGATGCTCTGGAGGCTGATGAGAGTGATGATGATGATGAGGATCTCTTGAAAGTCAAGGAAGGAGATGATGACTCTGAGGAAGATGAGGAGCTTAAGGAGATGGCTGATGAGTATTTCGGTAAAGAGTCTGAGCTCGGTGAGGGTGACAGGTTCTTGAGAGATTACATGCTGAAACAGATGTGGAAGGATAAAGATGGAAATAGCAAAACCCAAGTCATTGATGAAGAAGAGATTCAGCAGGTCTCAGATGACGAGCGGATGGTTATTTTGCAAGAAGAGTTCGAGACTAAGTATCGTCATGAGGAGAAGGATGTAGGGGGAATTGTTATGAGTCAGTCTAGGTTTGTTGAAGATTCCGTGAGGAAGAAGGATAACCCCAGGAAAAAACAGAGACAGAACAGGGAGGATAGACAGAAGATTGCTGAGATTGAGAGGCAAGAAGAGCTTAAGCGTCTCAAGAATGTCAAGAAGAAGGAGATTAAGGATAAGATGAAGAAGATTCTTTCTATTGCTGGTTTTAAGGACGGGGAAGAATTTCCTTTAGAATCACGGAACCTCGACGATGAGTTTGATCCTGACGAGTATGATAAGATGATGAAAGCTGCTTTTGATGACAACTACTATGCTGCTGAGGACTCTGAGCTACATAGTGATGATGATGATGATGAGAAGCCTGACTTTGACAAGGAAGATGAACTTCTTGGACTCCCAAAGAATTGGGATGTGATTCAAAGTGGGGATGGGTTTACTGCCACCAGAGAAAAGGTCTTAAAGCAGAAGGAGGATGGCATCAGTGATGATGACAAACAGGAAGAGGAAGACGAAGAAGGAGAAGAAGTTGAGGAGGAAGAAGAGAGAGAGGGTAAGAGGAAGAGAAAGAGAAAAGCATCTCTTGTGAAACGAGCCAACGAAGCTTTGATGGAGGAGTACTACAAGCTAGACTATGAGGACATAATTGGAGATCTGAAAACAAGGTTTAAGTTTGCAAAAGTACAACCTAACAGCTACGGGCTAGAGAAGGAAGAGATCCTCTTCTTGGACGACACAGAGCTGAACCAGTACGTACCATTGAAGAAGATGGCTCCTTACATGGAAAAGGACTGGGAAGTGAACAAATATAAGCTCAAGGAGCAGAAACACAAGTTCAGTGAGTTGCTGGAGAGGATTGATAATCCTGATGAGAAGAGAAGCAAGAAGAAGAGCAAGAAGAGGGATGCTGAAGAGAAGAAAGATGTTGTTAAGGAGAAGAAGCCAGCAGCACCGATAGCAGATGAGGAAGGCGAGGCTGAAACAAGCAAACTGTCAAGGAAGGCGAAGAGAAGAAGACGTGAAGCAGAGAAGAAGCTTCCTCCTAACAGAATGGTTGCTTATGGGAAGACAAATTGAACAATGAATAAGTAAGAGAATAATGGTCTTTTTACTCTCTTTGATCGATTTGAGACTCAAGTCATAGTTTTGATTTCGTATTGTTTTTTATTTATCCTGGTTTTAGTATGCAACTCTTTGATCTGTTGCTTTTGGTTGTGCCCCTTTGATATGTTATAAATCATCAGAAACTACATTTGAATTATACACAACAGAAAATGTTTCTCTTGAATAGATCAGAATCTACCGACTGCAAACACCACCCTTGGTAGTTATGATTTGTAGTAAACTAGATCGTTGGCTGGGCTTATGCGCGGATTACTGCATACGATTTCTTATGACCTTTGAAGAAATTGAGGTGTTTTATATATTGTGTTCGTTTTTGTGGGAAAAGCATTCAGAGAAGCAGTTTATTTCAATTGGTATTTTGATGCTGCATCTACAATTAATTACTCTTCGTCTCTTCCCATCCGTGTGTAGGTAAAGGTGAATGTTCTTTTTTAGTCCCACTCTTGTTTTTTCAGCTACTACTGCAAAGGGATATATTAAAGAGATAATTGGCTAAAGTACCCTATTTGCCACCTATAATTAGCGAATTAACCTTGATGTGATTGTTGCTTTTCGTCGGACCATTTTGCCCTTCCATGTATTGATCACCTATTTTCGTAGACTAACACGCCTACGGGTAGCTGTGTCAGAGCGCCACCCACGCGTGAGTTATTTCCCGTCAACCTTTCGGTTTTCCAGTAAAATCGAATGCATGCTTTTTTATTTTCGAAATTTGAATTTCGTCATTAATTTCCATAACTAAGAAAATTTATCCCACCACTCTGAATAGTAACCTCCCTCTCCATTTCAACTTTCCATCTTCCCACTACTGTCAATCTTGTTTTCTAAACGGAAAAACAACCGACTTTGTTCTTAAAAATTCTTCGATCGCCGATCTCAACCTTCCTAGACGATTTTTTGCTTGTGGTGATGAACCCGTCGGCGACAGAGTCGTCTCTTACCACAAGTATCGAAGAACAGAGCAACTAATTGAAGCATTAGACGAAGACGAGTTAGCCTTTTTCCAGAGAACTCAATTCTCGAAGGTCCTCTCTCTCGATGATAATCCTCCTTTCTCCGGCGCGTTCTGTCACTTTGTTTGTGTTCGTATGCTGAAGACCCGCAAGCTGTACGAGATTTGGCTTGTTTTTGCTGGATACCCAATAAGGATATCTCTTAGAGAGTTTTCGATCGTCACCGGCCTCAACTGTGATAGGGTTCCACAATCAAAGCGTAAGAAAAGGAAAAATCCTCTACACGAGAAGCTCTATTGGAATGACTTGTTTGGCTCGCTCAAGTCTTGTAGTGTGGATATGGTGATTGATATGCTGAAGACAAGGAAGGTTAAGGATAAGGATACTCGTCTCAAAATCGCGTCTTTAGCAATAACCGCTTCTATTTTAGTCCCAACCTCACACTCTCCGAAGATTCTCCCGGAGCACGTTGAGATGATAAGAGAACTTGATGAGTTCCTCGCTCTCCCTTGGGGAAGGACTTCCTTTCAAAATCTTGCGAATCACTTATGTTATGAATCAAACTAGGATCGTTCACTTTCTTCTGTACGAATCTGTAACAAACTCTCTCACTCTTCGAGTATTCAACCTAATCACTCTCTAACGCTCGTTTGCAACCAAGATTTAAAGAGATAATAAGAGATGAACACACAGAGTTTGTTTTCCCAGTTCGAACCCTCCCTTGAGGCTATCTACGTCTGGGTGCTTGACGGTACAAGCAAAGCTTCTTATTATCACTCAGATTCAACGAGCTTTACAAGAGAAAAGGAAAGATCAATTGATCAAGAACCGATACAATTGAATCACCTCACCAAGAAGAATTCTCTCTCTCTCTCTTTTCGTAACTGAATAAGATCCAAAAGCTTCGACCCTGAGCACATCCTTTCTCAAACACTTATATAGTCGAGACCGGTTTGACTTGAGTTAACCAAACCAATAACGAACCGGTTATCTTCAATTAACTCTTCAAACCACCAACACGCCAAACCAACACTGGTTAAGCTCCTTGTTGAATTATGTTGCGTGTCACAGCTTACAACAACTTACTCAAGAAGGATGCAGTCTCACTAGCGCAAGATTCAATTGCCCTAAGGGGATATGTTGAAGCCATTCAACTGGTGCTTATCGCCGCTGTTCCTGATTTGAAAGAAGAGGTGGTTCACTCTGCTCCCGTTGTTGTTCTTTTCGAAAGCGAGGGTGAAATGGATGCGGAAGAGGAAGCACCGCATGTAGGTGAGGAAGGGGACGCGGAGGATTTGCCATCTTCCGATAAATTTATTGTCAACCCGCGCAATGCGAGAGAACTCAATTCAGAGTGCCAGGTTAGTGACATCAAGAATATTTTTACCGTTAAACATAATTGTTACTGAATTGACGATTATTTACTGCTAAGACTTTGAATATGAATGCGTATTAAACTTGTTTGATTATGGAATAGTTTCTCACCCCTGTGTACAATGCTATTAGTTAATCATCGTTTATTAAAGATAATATTATAATTAGTCGTAAAGTAATACTTTCCCGGGAAACTAGTAAGTTAACTGTTGACGTTGCTCTTAACTGTTACGTGAAAACTTTTTGGATAAATGTTTTATTACCATTAAAAATTTTCGGTTAATCTATTATGTTCATGTAGGTGGCTGTTAGATCAATACTGAGCGACCCTGACGAGGAGTGGTATCTACAACATGACTTCTCATGGCCCGACGAACAAGAAGATCCCACCGTAGATAGTATGGTGAAGCTCATCAACGAAGGGTTCCTATTTGATAACAATATGTTCAAGGGAGGTATAACATCATCCGAGCTTCAAAAGTTAAGGGGACTGAAACAGAAGGGTAAGCAGCCTAAACACAAACAAGTTCCCGCGGATATGGGTGAGCAATCAGAGGTTCCGCCGCCAGGCCAAGGTGCTGTTGATCCTATTGCCAACATCGTCTCATGGAAGCTTCACGAAGAACTTGCCTCTATGGAGTCTCGAATAGCTAAGGCCGTGGACCAACAATTAAAGTCAAATATGAAGGCTATGGAGACAAGACTCACAAGATGTGTTGTTGACAACATCCATTCGATGAAAAGGGGGGTTATAAAGGCCATTGTCGACTACCTGAGAAAGACAACATCTTCTACGCCTAGCATTTCAGACGTACCACCACGCCATCCGCCAAACCCAACAAGCCTTAGGGTGAGTGGACATGGGGAAGCGACTGCTGAAGCAGACGCTGAAGAGATGGCCGTTGACGATCCTGAACCTCGAGTAAACCAGTCCATCAGGCGCATTTTAGATGACCTTCAAGCATCATCACACAATCAAGAGGTTGGTGATATTTTATCTTCAACTACTTACTTACTTTCTACCCCTTAAAACATACCGATCACCCTATCATAGCAGGCAAATGTAGACGGAAATGTCTCTCAGCAAGATGCCAACACCAAAGCACCTCCAGAGCACGAGAGAACAGAGATTCTAACCACGGAGGTTACCCGCTAAACCCTGTGATAACTGTTAAAAAATATTATTACCACAATTTAATCGGTTTGCTGTCTTTACAAAATGGTATCTAGTCCTTTTTTTAAATCCTATCTCACGTAGGATGCTGGTAATATATCACCCTTGAACCCTGAAGCTGAATCAACATCTGGGACCACAATCCCTGCTGTCCCAACGGTACCATCCATGGTAATCCTTATCCTTTAGTTTTACAAGTTTTTTAATTAACATAAGCTTCTAAATCCTTCGCTAATGCAGGGTGATCCGAGTGGGAATGTCAATAATCAGGAACTCAGAGACCGCCCATCCATCGATCCCATGGACACCGAAACCATCTCTGATAAGGTTTTCGGGAAAATATTAATTTTATGTTTTCTTAATAGTTTACCGGTTACAAATTCAGTAAACATACAACAATTTTGTTAGTTGGTATATATTACCACTATACTGCTGATGTTTGCAGGAATTGGCGCAATGGTCAATGACCCTAGCGACTGTCGAAACGGCTACTGGAACAAGTACCACAGAAGCAGTACATGTAATGTCTCATCTACTACTCTTGTTTTCCTGTTTTCACTTCTGATTGTCTATGATCTGACATTTTCATAGGGGGAATCATCTCAGCTGGATATTGAGCCTCCCTCATTTTCTATTGGCCTCACCCAATTAGAGGCATCAGAGCGTGTTCTTCAGCCTGCTCCACTTACCGTTGTGCTTCCTCCCGCTGGGCAATCATCCGACACCCTGGACCCACTAAGAGCCCAAAGACAAACAATACCCCATCTGCTTTACAAGACTATGAGCTAGACCCCAAGAGTAAGCCTGGATTCCGCGTCCTTCCCGACCTTCACAAATTGTTCGACCAGATGAGGCAGCGGATTATACCCACGGGGTGAGTGTACTTCAACGATTTACTGGAAATATTCCTCTTAACTGTCAACATTTTATTTATCCGATAATAAAACATGTAACCGTTTTTAATTATTTTGTAGGTTTATTCACTTGGATGGTCCATCCGCTCTGACTGGGGCCGAGTTTGTGGACATTGCTTTTAGGAAAAGTATAATGTCTCCTCTGGTAAGACTCAAACTTTTTGTCTCATCTACATATGAAATTATATTGTTCTATAATAACATTATATTTCTGCAGACTGTCAACACTATAATGCGCTTCCTGGCTGTTGAGCACGAAGTTCCCGGCAAGTCTATCAAAATCTTCGACATGAGCCTCCCTACTGCTATGAAGAACAACTACCCAAAGTTCGTCAAGATGGGTGTCCAGTTGCGTCCAAAATTTAAGTTCACAGATGACGTGATTTTGCGTCTTCAAGGTAACCCGGCAGACTTAATCTATTTCCCTCTCTATATTGATCCGAGACACTGGATAGCGGTGGTTGTGGACATAAAAGCGTGGGATATACAAGTTCTCGATTGCAACGTCACCTTGAAGACAGACGCTATGATCAAAAA